CTGAGGGCTTCGCAGGTGATCGAGGTCACATGGGCTCACCAGGGTGGCCCTGATCCAGGGTGCCCGGGATCCCTACAGAAGAGTGATCAGGATACAGACACGCATAGAGCCGACCCTGTGAGGACCCAAGGAGAGCACAACAGTCCATACACACGCAGAGAGGCCCCAGGAGGACCCCATCTGCCTGCAGCTGGACCTCGGGCCTTGGCCTCCAGGACAGGGACAGTGAGCATCTGTGGCCACGGGGATCTGTTACTTGGGGAAGGGGGACCTCAGGGGCTCCACCTTCACTTTAGTCCAACCCTGGGGCCATTGTGGGTGGGGAGGAGGCTCTGCAGCTGTTTTAGTACCCCACAGTCCCTGCTGGCAGGGGAGGGGTGGGGAGGGCCGGGGAGACTGGGAGAGAGCCTAGGAGGTCCAGGGGCCAGGCTGGGCACACACGCCAACAGGAGCTCAGGGTCAGATCCTCACTGGCCCCCAAGACTTGAGTTCAGGAGGGAAAGGGCAGCACGTTGTAGGCAAGCCAGCCAGCTCCTGCCTGCCATCTCCAGGATGCGGGGCAAGGCAGCGAGAAGTCAGGGCGCCCAGGATGCCCTGGGGGTCCGGGGGGTTGGTCAACCAGCTCGGGCATGAAGCAGGGAAAGTCTGGGTGGGACACGATTCGGGACATGGATGCCCCGGGCTGGAGGCGCTGCAGGAAGGCCAAGCGAAGGTGTCCAGGGCCAGCGGTATGAACGCGCTGGGCTCACACAGGCAGGGGTCGTGGGGGGACGGGATGTCTTTCCCCCACTCCAGCATCCTGCAGACGAATCACCGGGGGCTTCCACAGACATGAGGCGGGTTTGTTGTGGGGCTGCCTGGGGTGGCTCTGTCCCCTTCCTTCCATCACAGCGAGCTGGGTCCTGGAGTCCTGGTGTGAGGAGCACGAGGAAGAGGCTACAGGTGCAGCCTGGGGATGGATGGAGACGGGGAGTCTGAAAGGGAGCTGGGGGCAGACAGGTTGGGGATTGGGGACACCAAGCCATGTCCCTCCTCACCCAGCCTCAGTGAGGCAGGTGTCTCCTTCTCCCATCTGACAGCTGGGGACCAGGTCAGGGAAGGTGAGATCCCAGAGCTGGGGCCCCTGGGGCCAGGTGAGGGCGGGAGCGTCACCACTCAGCATACGTGCCCCTGGGCTGTGGCCACTGTGGGAAGGGGTGACAGGCACTGGGTTCTGACTTGGCAAAGGCAGGCCCAGGTCACTGGGGTGAGAGGATCCTGGAGGGACCTGGCGGGTGGGGTTAGGGGTCAGCAGGGAGGGTGGGCTGGCATGTGTCTGCACCTGCAATTGCCGGAAATCCCCTCCCAAGTGAGGGGTGGGTGCAGGGCCGGGGGCCCTTTCCCAAGGCTGACCTTGAGGGATTCAGAGGTGGAGGGTCCCAGGTGACCACAGGTGGGCACGGTGGGCAAAGCTGTCTGGAGGGTCTTCCTGTGGGCGAGACCCCTTCTCGGGACAAAGGCTCTGCATCCAGGAAGGACATTGCTGGCAGCCAGTGTGGCTGAGGGGGGGCCCCACCACTCATGGTAGCGGGAAGCCAGGGGAGCAGAGGTACATGGCTTGGGCAGTGGACACCCAGACTCCTGTCCCCTCCCCTCTGGTAATGGATGCCCAGGCCCAGACATGCCAGGCCCTGGGGGCCAAGGACTCACAGAAGCCTTCTTGGAGGAGGTGACATCAAGGAGACCTGAGGGTGGGGTGGGGGCAGCCGAGGGACAGCCCAGGGATGCTTCCAGGCCGGGTGCTGAGGCAGCTGGTGTCTGTGAGCCTGGAGACGAGCCACGGGTCCCTCCCCACCTGGCTCCTGTGGGGTGGATGCTCTCTTCTCCAGCTGTATAGTGGGGGAAACTGAGCCCAGCAGCCTGTCAGGAGGAGTCGGGAGGGGGGGGCGGGGAGTCCCCACTGGGGGCAAAGGGAGATCTGGGCCCAGACAGAGCGTGGGCTCAGGGACCACAGAGAGGAGGTCGCAGGGGCGGGGCACGGCGGGCTGGGGAGAGGGTTGGGCTGCGGAGGAGGCGAGGCGGACGTTCGCTCACTCACAGAGGAACTCTGGCCCCAGGGCCCCACTCGGGCTTCCCCTTGGCCTGCGGGGCTGGAGATGAAGGGGGCCGGGAAGCCCCACTGAGTCGTGTCCCCTCTTGGGAAGCCCCTGAGCCGGGCCAGTCCCAGTCCTTCCAGCTCCACGGGGGCACCGCCACTGTCCATCCCCATGTCCTGGGGCAGCCCCCTCACCCCCGCTGCCATACCCCTGTCCCCGCGGGCCAGCCCTGTGGTCCCTGCCTCCGCGCGTGGGCCACGCCCACGTCTCCACATCCCATGTCATCTGTTCTCATGGTTGCTCAAGAATTTCATTGTGTGGAAGGTCAAAGAGAAGTTTCACATTGTAGAAAGTGTTTCAAACTTACAGAAAAGTTTTGAGGATAAGAACAGTACAAAGGAGACCCACACCCTCACCTACCGACTCACCCGCCTGGCTCCTGGGCACCCGAGGACCGCGTGCCTGGCCGGCTTCCTGGAGGCGGTGCGGGGGTGTCCTGCCCGCCGGCGGCGCAATCTTTTTGGCACAAAACTCCGCTTCTGTCGCACCTTCCGCTCTGCATCCTTCTCACCTGCTCCCTCAAATATCATTGCTGAGCTCAGGCCCTCCCCCACAAAGCCCTCTGTGCGGGACGGTGTCAGAGACCAAGGCCTGGACGCTCCTCAGGGCCAGCAGACGCAGAAGGGGCTGTGGGCCCGAACCACCCCACACAGGTGCGCACACACCCACCTGGCTCACCCATGCCCTTCAGCACTATGATTCCAGGGCCACCTGTCGAGGTCCCCCCCCCGCCCCACCTCACTGGTCACAGTCCGGCCAAGGTCCCCCCAGGGTTTTTCTGGGGCTGCGTCTCCACCCTGCATCACCCACAGGGCGAGCCAGGTCTCCTGACCTTTGCCGCCCTCCTCCTCCCTTTGGGGGGTCCTTCCTGGGCAGCCCACCTCCAGCAACAGCGTGATCCTCCCACCCACCTGCCCATCGTCCTGGTCCTCATCATCAGGGCATCAGTACCTGTACCCAGAACCCCATCTGCAACCCAGACCCTGGCACCCCACAAACCCACAGCCGAGAGCCAGCCCCCGCTACCAGGCCCCGGCTCTGAGCCCCCCTCCCTGGAGAACAGCCTGGGCCTGGGCCTGGGCGTCCCATCTGCCCCATCCATCCACCAAGTGAGGGAACTCGGCCTCTTAGATGTCTCCCCATCCACCACTACCCTCCCTCCCTCCCAGGAGGTGGCCCTGGTTCCTAAGCCCCCTCCCACCTCCAGCCTCACTTCACACTGCCTGTTCCCCACCCCATGGGATCTTTCTAGAATGCAGAGCCCTCACTGAGGGCCAGGTGCTGGGCCACGTGCTCGCTCGGCAGAAATCCCCGCCACTCAGGGCAGCAGGAAGCCCCGTTGCCCGAGGCTGTGCATCTGCAGGCCCTTCTGCCTGGGGCACCAGGGCGGCCGTGCTGATGCTTGGTGGTCTGGTCCCCCACCGCCTCACTAGCTCAATCCCGTCTTCATTAGAGAGTAACAGACACCCACAGATCCCCTTCCCATCCAAACCCACATGGACCACCTGGCCCTGCTCAGACACCCACGCTGGAGGGTCTCTACCTGGAATTTTATGTTTGACGTTTCCTTGACTCAAAAAAAAAAAATCATTTCTCCATGCAATGAGTCTTCCCAAACACAGTGAGCTGAGTCTTGTGGGAGCCAGGGCCCCAGGGTCCCTGCCTCCCTCTCCCGGTGAGCACGGCCCCTGGACGGCTGCCCGGGTCACTTTGTCAGGTCTGTGATGGGGCACCACCTCGATCACTCTATCCAGCCACAAAAACCTGTTCCTTAAATTCCCACTGTTGGCCCCGCACCAGATGCACCCCAGCCCGGAACATCCCTGGGTTCTCTCTACCCTGCCTCTGGGAGCAGGGGCCCAGGGATGGGCTAGGCTGGACCCCAAGCTTCAGGGTCTCCGAGGAGACCCTTCCTCCTCCTGAAAGGATGGACCTAGGTCCCTGAGCTGCAGGGGGCCTGGGAGCAGATGGGCAAGGTTGCAGGGCAGGCTGATGTGGTCTTCGAGGCGACCGACGGCCCAGAGCAACTACCCTTCCCATGTCCGGCCACTGGCATGTCCCTGGGCGAGGGTAGGGCAGGCAGCCTGGCCTCCCTGAGCGCCCCTCCAAAGATGGGAGTGGAGGAACCCTGGCAGGTCACCATGTCATTCCCGTGGCCTTGCTGCAGCAATCCTCATCAGGGCCTGTCAGGGACATCGTCCCTTGACGTGTGAGGCGGACCAAGGCCTTGGGGAGGAGTGGAAGCCAATGCAAACCCCCCACCCATGGGCCTGCTGGGGGGTCATGTTGGCCTGTCACCTATTGCCAGGAGGGAGCTTGGACCCCACCTATTGCCAGGAGGGAATGTGGACCCCAGCTCAGAGCGTGTCATTGCTCCGTGGTCACAAGCCACCCTGGGAGAGCTGCCTGACCTGGGACTGCACCCCCTGTGGGAGGAATGGGAGCTGCTCACAGTGCATGGCGGGGTCATGCCTGCCCTGGCCCCTGGCCTGGAATCATGTCAGATGGACAGGGTCTCTGGACCTGGCAGACCCCCTTAGGATGATCATGCAATGTACAGATGATCTCCTCTCCAGAACTCTCACTTCGATGGGACGCAGGCCATCTGCATCCAGGCCCACCAGGTTGGGTGTGGTCAGGGCAAGCATTGGGGGACACCCGGGGAGCTGAGCACTCAGCTCAGACCATACTGCATGGCCCCAGGTGCAGGCTGGTGGATTCCAGTCCTGCGAGTGCCCCGCCCCCAGCATGGCCTGCAGCCTCCCCGCTGCCCTTACCCCAGGCTGTCCCCAGCACGCTGCTGTTTGCTGGGTGCCTGGAGGCCATCTGTGGGCCGTGAGGCTGGGCAGGACCAGACCAGACCAGTCACAGGGATTGGAATCCTTTATTAACCACTGAGACGAGCCCTGCCCTCCCTCCCTCTGCGGGGGGAGTGCCGCACCGAGCAAGAGGGTGGCAAGTAGCCTAGGACTCAGTCTCGAACATCTTCTTCCTGCCCTCCATGCCAGACTTCTCCTCAATGTTCTTCCGCCAGTCACCCACGTCACGCAGGTCCCGCTCCTGGGGACAGGTGCGATAGGGCTTAGGAAGGCACTGCAGGCCGCCCTTGGCCTCAGTTTCCCCCTCCCGGGGCCCAGAGCCCAGCCGTGGTGGGGGTCTGACCAGTGGGCTGGGGAGGCGCCGCGTACCTTCTCGGTGTCCTCCTTCTTGACCTGCTTCAGGTTGGCCCTCAGGTCCATGCACACCTTGTGCTTGGAGCCCAGCAGCGCCTTGAGCATCGCGTCGGCAGACATGCGCACCCTCCTCAACGGGGGCCTCTTGAACTTGCCTCTCAGGTCGAACAGCTTCTGGTTCATGTCCTCCAGCTGCGGGGCAGAGGTTAGGGCTGGGTGGGTGGCAGTGGCAGCAGGGCCCCCTGCTGGTCCGGAGAGCCCCTCACCCGTCCACGCCCACCCCATGCCTGCTTACCTCCTTGGTGCTCTTCTGAACCCTCACTTCCATGTCATACTTCTCCTCCTCGGCTGCGTCGATCTTGGCGTGCAGCTGTTTGCAGAGCTCCTGGGGGTGGGGGCAGCAGGTGGGGTGGGGCAGCTGTCCACCTGACCTCCACCTACCCTACCGGCCCTCTTGACCAAAGGGGAAACTGAGGCAGCAGGCCAGAGCACCGCTCGGGGAGGGTACCTGCACTTCGGACATGGAGCCGGGCAGGTGCAGAGGCGGGCAGTGCTCAGACAGGTAGTTCTGCTTCTCAGACTCACGGCGACTCTCTTCTTTCTCCAGCTCCTGGGCGGCAATCTGGAGCATGACACTCTAGAGGGGCAGGGAGCGGCGGGGGGGCAGGCGGTGAGGGACTGTGGTGGCCCAGTCCCACTGGCACCCTGGGATGGCCCTCTCCAGGGAGCACCTACCTTCAGGTGCTGTCTCCGGGCCGTGATGGCCCTGTTGCGTTTCTGCAGGGGAGAGGGCAGGAAGCAGAGTCAGAGCTAGTTGGGGTCCCTCGCACCCCCACATCCCTCCACACTTGCTCCACCAGGCCTGTGGACCCTGCCTGGAGACAACTGAACCGGGGGGTCCCAAGGTCCTGCTGGGGGACCAGGCCCAGGACACTTGTGACCAGGAGGTGGGTGAGGCTCAAAGGCTCAGGGGGGTGGAAAAGGGACGGTACCTCAGGGGCAGGGGGAGGGGCAGGGGATCCCTGCAGGGCCCAGGAGGTGGGGGGCAGCCTCGGAAAGAAGAAGCGATTCTGGTGACCTGGCCCCAGCCCCACATCCCCTGCCCTGTGAGACATGGGTAGCCACTTCCTGTTTCATTGAGTCTGGGTGGCTGGGTGGGGCACTCTCACGGGGGAGGGCTGGGCAGCTGCCCCTGTGCTCTAACCTCTAACCTATCCCAAGTCAGGGGGGTCCCATCCCCTCTGTGTTTCATGCCCCCCCAGCAAGTACTCACCTCCTCACTGTCCCGGGGAGGCAGGGGGGGTAAGGGGAGAAAAGAGACAGGTTAGGGACATAGATGGGACAGTATGATGAGGGAGTGGGGGGTGGTCAGAGCCAGCCGGGGAACTGCAGAGACCCCTGCCTGGTGGGGAGGGTGGGGACAGCAGGGGCCCCCCAGCTTTGGGCTGCACTTACTCCCCCATCCTGAAGTCCTGGGCTTAGAGCCTGTGGGAGAGAAAAGGCATGGGTGTGAGGGCCACGGCCCATCCTGCCCTGGACGCTGGTTATCCAGGTGGGGGCCACCCTGGCCCCAGCCCTCTGCCTATTGCTCTGCCCCCAGCTCTGACCTCCTTGGAGGCACTGTCTTGGGATTCCCAGGGTAAGAAGAGGAGAAAGTGTTCCTAAAATGTCCCAGGCAGGGCCCGGGTTGTTGCAGCTGTCCCGGGGGGGCAGGACGGGCCAGCACAGGTGGCCACGAGAGCCTTCCCACTATTTTTAGCTCTGCTCCTTCGGCTTTGGGCCCAAGTGCATGCAAGAAAGTGCTCCCCGTTTTGGCCTGGGGTCCCTCGACCCATCAGATCTCCTCCCTGTGTCCCACCCAGAAGGGAGGACTGGTGATCTGGAGGCTGTCCACAATCCCTGGCCACCCCCCACCCCAGCCACCTCCCAATGCATCGCCATCTGGCTCCAGGCTCCATGGAAGCCACCCCCCCGGAGAGGGCTGCTAGAGGCGGCCCCCAACCCCCAGGACCCCACCCTGGGTCGTCCTGGGAGCTAGCTCAAGGAGTGCCTGTCCTCGGCCTGGGCTGGCCGGGCTGGCCTCACCTAGTGTCTGGGCAGCAGGGCCGGGAGCGAGGTCAGGCCGGCAGCGGCAAGTTGGGCTGGTGGGCCCAGGGGGAGGGGTATAAATGGCCTCCCCAGGCTGGGCCCCTGCTCAGAAAGGGCATGGAGCCCTCCTCAGACCAATGGGGGCACAGGGGCCTCCCCACCTGCCCAGGCCGCCCGGCCCGGCCCAGCCGCGTGCTGTCGTCCCGTCCAAGAAGTCTTGGTGGGGGGGGGGGGGTGCCGAGGCTGGGCTGCTCTATTTAGAGCTCAGTGACATGTTCGAGAAGCCTCCCTTGTTCTTGCAAGGAGCCCAGGGTCAGCTGTACATGGCCTTGCTGGGCCACTGCAGGGCAAAAGCTCGAGGTCGGCTGAGAGGTCACTCAGGTCCTGAGCCCGGGGCCACTCCTCAGTTTTCCCTCTGCTTCCAGGGGGCGGGGTGGGGGGGGGGTGTGCTGGGAGCAGCCCCCCGCAGCTCACTGCTGCCTCTTAGCCGGGCCAGGTGCCCCAGACATGAGCCGGCCACGTCCTGTCCTTTCTCCAAGCCAGCCCCAGCTCCGGGGCAAGGCTTGAACCCCCAAACATGGCCCATGGCGGTGGCCAGGGCCTCCGAGTGGGGGCAGCCCTCCCCCGGCTGAGATCCGGTCCTCCTGGGAGCAGGAGGGAGGGTGCCTGGACGTGCAACCGGCCGGAACACCCTGCCCTGGGGTGGTTCCTGGCTCACTCGGAACCCGTCCTTCAACCCGGGGATGGCGGCACCACCCGCCTGGGAACCTCTCCCTGACCCGAGGGGCCTGGGGCCTGCCTGGCTGCCCGGGCAGGCCCGGCGCTGCTGCCCTTCTCACCCCGGCCCGGGCCTGCGCCCCCAGCCCGGGGCCCCCACCCAGCAGAGACATCCGGACAACCATGACTTGGCATCCTCTGAGCTGGGGGTGCGTGGCCCCAGCCCTGCCGGCCTCACGGGCCGTGGGGAGGGTCAGGGGGAGCTAAAGCCGTCCAGATGTGTGGGGATTAGAGCTGCATTCCTGGCCAGGGCTGAGCCCCCAAGGCCCGAGGTGACTTCTGAAGACGTCTACTGCCCCCTGCCGTCCGCAAGAGGAGGCCTCACAGCAGCCCGCAGCTGCTGGAAGGTTTGGGGCCCTGTGGGGGCTGCAGCGGCCCCTTGGGTTGGGGTCCTTTCCCTGTACTGTCACCACCCCCAGGATACCTCCTGATTATCCCCTGGGTCCCCGCGGGGCCGGCTGCAGCCTGCCACCCAGCACGCCGTCCCTGACCCTGCAGCCCCACAGACAAAGAGGGCTCACCACCTCTTCACACCCTCCGGTTGGTGGGGCTTGAGGGGACTCCTTCACTCCACCAAGGGGTCAGAGGATCTGTGGCTGAGGCTGGAGACAGTCCTCCCCCCACAGCAATGATGACCCTCCTGCATGTCCCTAAGGGCTCCGGAAACACAGGCAGCCACAGCAAGAGCAAGCATTTATTACAGCGGAGTTGCCCCCCGGGGCAGCCTGGACAGTACCCACACTTCAGCCCAGGGGTGCGTTCAGGAGCCGGGCATGGGCAGGCGTAGGCGGGATTTCAGGGCCAGGGCTCGGTCCACCTCCCCGGCGAGCTGCAGGTGGTGCCACTGGGCAACAGGCCGCCGGGCATGGGCCAGCATGTCTGCCCAGTGCTGCAGGGGCTGCCCAGAGGCACGGGCGCCGAGCAGGACCTTGCCCACACACTCAGCCCGAAACTGTGGGCCCCGGGCCCAGACAGCCAGCACCAGATCCACGCTCTAGGCCGGGGCAGGACAGGGGGCATGCAGGAAGAGAGAGACAGCTGTCAGTTTGGCCCCAAGGGAGGGGGTGTCCCACCCACCCCTTCCTCCAGGCAGCCCACCTGGATCTGGCTAAAGGGCACCAGGAAGGAGAAAGCCTCGTTGAAGTAAGGGGAGGCTGTGCCCTTCCTAACCGATGTCCTTCTCTTCTTCCACTTTCTCTGGTTCAGCATGAGCTGGACCTTCACGTAGGGGACTGGGCAGGTGAAAGGGATCAGAGGTGTCCCCGGTGTGAGGGCCGAGCTCAGGGCCCCCTCTTCATGCGGGTGTGGGGGCAGGTATGGCTCTCACCTGCCAGGCCTGGGCTCAGGCCTCGGGCCTCCAGCACGACCACGGTCAGCCGGCCTGAGCTGGGCATGTACTGGAGCGAGAAGCACAGCACCCCCCACGCCTCAGGCTGCAGGTGGTAGGGGGTTCTCAGGGTGAGGGGGGACAGTGCTCAGAGTGCAGGTGGTGAAAAGGGGTGCAGGCAGTGATAGGGATGCTCAGGGTGCAGGTGATGAGGAGGGGCTCAGGCTGCGGGAGGTGAGGGGGGCTCAGGGTACAGAAGGGGAGGGGACTTGGGGTACAGACAGTAGTGGGGGGCTCTGGGTGCAGGAGGTGAGGGGGGCTCAGTCTCCCCTGAGACACACAGGCCAGGACCAGGCCAGCCAGAGCCGGGCAGTCAGTGGCCTCACCTCCACAGTGCCCGGTGGGCCCAGCTGGTACCAGTGCTCCAGAACGTGGTGCAGGTCCATGGTGCCCAGTGGCAGGCTGAGCTCGCCCAGCGGCTCGTGGGTAGAAAACCGCTTAAAGCTCAGCACCTGCACCTGCAGGGTGGTCTGGGACAGCTCTTCCTGTGGCACCTGCGGGCAGGCTGTGAGCTGGACACCCTGTCCCCTCCACGGACCCTGGCCCAGGCTTCCCCCCCTCCGGCCCTCCCAGCCCAGACGCACGTGGAAGCAGCAGGTCTCCTGGAACATGGGGCAGAGCGTACCGTGGTGCACCTTTGTCTCGTGCCTGTGTCCTGCCTGGGTAGAGAGGCTGACGCGAGTGTACGGATCCGCCGTGCTGCCAGAGCCCCAGGCCCTCAGGTCTGTGGCCTGCTTGAGGCCCACTCTGACCTGGGAGCCAGAAGTGGCTCAGCCAGGGGCCCTCCTCAGTCAGCCCCGCATCCAGTGCCTGCCCGGCACCCAACACCCCTCCGGACACCAGCAGACCCTCTGGGCCAGTCAAGGGGGCCCCACACCTCCTGGCTTCCGAAGTCATACTCTAGGGAGAGCTGCAGGCACCCCCAGTGCTGGGGGCCCCCCTCCAAACTGTCCACATCCGGCTGCACCTGGAGTGTCGGTAGGGAAACATGCCCCATGCTGATGGGAGGCCCGGGCAGCAGTGCCATGTCCCCAGCTGGGCCACACAGAGACTCACATTCCCAGCTCAGGGCCTCCAGGATCTCCCCAGATCCATCTCTTGCACCACTGCCTTTCTCAAGAGCCTCCTGTAGCTTCCCATGGCCCGTGGACTGACCCCTGGGGCTGGCACTCAGGGCCTCCAAGCCTTGGTCCCACCTGCCTCCCTCTTACCTTTGCCCACCACTTCCCGGCCAGGAGGTCCCTCCCTGCCTCTGCTCCTGGTCAGACCAGACCATGGCTGGGGGCTGAGCTCGCCCCCCCCCCCCCGACCGTCCTGGGCCAACCTGAGCCCCCGAGGCTGGTTTCTGAGCTGCCTTCTGGGACTGCTGAGCCCGGAGCTTGGCACTGGGGAGCGCCGGTGCCCAACTCCTCACCAGGTGGGCGCTGGTGGTGGTGCCTTGGGGACTGCTCAGGCCCATGGCCTCTCTGTCCCTGGGCTTCTTCCTGTGACCATGGTGACGCCGGCGGCAGCAGCAGCAAATGACACAAAGGAGGCAGGAAACCGTGAGGACACCAGCAGCCACAGCAAGAGCAATGAGCGCCCAGCGGGGCCCTGGGGGTGGGCGTAGAGATGGAGCCAAGATGCCTCTGTGGGCAGCAGCTGCCCCACTGGGCCCGCCGTCCCCACACCCCTCCCAGGGGGTCCCACAACTCACAGTGGAGCCCAGAGATGAGGTCCAAAATGAGCCCAGTTACAGCTGAGGTGCCCTCCGGGGCCGGGGTACTGTGGGGACCTGGGGGGCGCCCCATCTCCCCTCCCTGCTGGCTGGGAACAGACAGCCAAGGTGGCCAGCTCACCTCTGGGGATGGCCCCTCGGTCCCCGGCCCACTGCCCCATCTGCCCAGCGACAGCAGGCCCGGGGTCTGCCCGGGCAGGGAGGCAGTGCGGGGTGGCCAGGGGCAAGGTCTCTGAGCGGAGCCAAGGGGAGGGAGGCGCTGGGCTCTGGCCAAAGTCCCGGCTTGGCTGCCACAGGCCCAGCCTCCTGGCCACCTCCCCAGCCCCCGGCCCCCAGCCCCAGCCAAGCAGGCCAGGCCTTCTCATTAGGGAGCCTCCTCCTCCAGGAAGCCCCCTCCTTCCGGGCCTCTCCCCCAGGCCCTAGGCCCTGCCTGGGGGCTGTCACCAAGGGCCCCGACTCGTCCCGGGCCCTGACCTCAGGCCCGCCATGGTTTGTCGGTCACACGGGTGGAGCCACACAGGTGGAGCCTGTTCACACATGGCAGCCCCTGGCCCGGGAATGACAGGGGAGCGTGGAGATGGGGGTTCTGAGGGGCCAGGGGCTCTGCTGGGGTCATAGGGGCACGTAGGGGGAGGAGTGGGGGTGGGCTGCTGGGGAGAGCTTGTCCAAGCAAGCCTGGGCTGAAGATGCTTCCCCGGCACGGGCGCCGCGCCAGCAGCGCCTGGGGAGCAGGGTGAGGTGGGGGCAGGTGGGGACAGGGTGAAGTTGGGAGAGGCCAGAACATTCCTTGCAAACTGACTCAGCAGCCAGCTGCCCAGACCTGCCCACCTGCCGACCTGCCACCCTTCTTGCTGGTGGGAAGGAGGGCGGGCCTGGTGCAGCCTACCTGCCTGGGGCCCGGGACGGGAGCACACCTGGCCAGGCTGGCTGCTCCCACCCACAGCAGGGACTTGGGATTCTGAGCAGGGGGCCGGATGCCACAGTGGGGGTGTGCTGGGACCCCAGACCCACAGGAACAGGACCCCCCCCACCCCCAAGGCTCAGCTCCTCCTGGCCTCCCCTTCTCTGGAGAGCCAAGGTCACAGTTCCTCCTACTGGGGGCTCCTCCTCTTCATCCACAAGAGCCTGCTACCCCTCGACCCAGGGGCCTGGGGCAGGCCACTCCCTCCAGGAATAACGGGATATTGGGTCTGCCCCCCACATGGGGAGAGAAAGGCTGGGCCAACAGCAGTTCGTTGGAGGAGCTTTAGCTCAGAGAATGCCCAGGAGTCCTGCTCCCAGGCCGGGCTCTATCACCCCTCAGAGGGCTGTGTGCACATCCTCCCTGTGGGGTCTTTGGCCCGAAGGTGACAGCCAGGAGAGGAGCAGGGGGCCAGGGAGCCACAGCCCCAGGAAGAGATGTCAAGGCCCCGCATGCAGGAGGAAAGCGCCCTCAGAGACAAGGCCCAGGCCTGGTGTAATGTCCACCGTCGCTGTCTTGAAATTCGAACCATTTTAAACAAAAGACTGCACGTTTTCTGCGCGGGCTCTGCAAACGATGGAGCCCATGCTGCTTGGGTTTCCTTTGGGTGAGCCCCTGCCCGGTGCAGGTGTTCAGGGACACCCACAGGCCGCCGCCTCTATGCCCCCATCCTCAGAAGGACACTCAGGTCTGCTCAGCATCCTGTGGTGGCAGGTGGAGGGCCCCGGGGGACAGCGGGTGGCCGGGGGGTGGGGGGGGAGGAGGCTCATGGAAGTCCTGCAGGTCCCTGCAGCAGGACGCTGGAGGCCAGATTCAGAGCCCCCAGCTCCCACGTGGAAGTTACAAGCAACCATGACTTTCTGAAACGTCAGAGCCCGTGTGTGTTCTGGAATTAAAATAGCTTCACTGGAGACTTTTACAGTTGAGAATACCAGGTACGACGTCAGCACAGAATCTGTGTGTGTGCGTGCATGCGTGTGCATACCTGTCCATACTGTGGATGGGCATGCGTATGTGCACAGGCAAGGGTGCCTGTGCCTGTGTGTGCCTCTCCCCTGCCCCTGGGTGGCAGCCTGGGCAGGCACTGACTCACGGAGATTTGGTGCTGCAGGCCTGCCGGGATTCCTGGGCCATCCCAGTGAAGGGGGACCCCAGGACATGCCTGAGAGCAGGCCCCGAGGGCCCCAGGATGCTGAGAGTGCTGCCCACAAGCGCCGCGGGAACCCAAAGCCTGGGGACGAGGCACAGGGTCCCTCAGGACCGCCAGGTCCCCATGGTGGTGAAGGTTCAGGTAGACATGCTGCCACCAGGTGGCGCCCATGGCTCCGCTGGGCCCAGGCCGCAGGTGGCTCCCCAGATCGCTCCAGGAATGGGGAACCAGCAGGCAGATAGCCCCGGGGCGGCTCTGGGGGGGGGGCTCTGTGCCCACTGCCCGGTCTCCTGCAGCAGTGGCTGAGCGGCTCTCCCGGTCTGCGGCTGCCTGGGGCGGTGGGGGGGAGGGGGTGGGGGGCAGGAACCATCCTGCCTACAGCTTTCCGGGGCCACCTCAGCTCCAATTTCTGTGGCCCCGCGGGGACATCCCTCTAGCACCAAGGATCTTTGTCCCAGGAAAGGGAGCCGGCGTCCCTCATCAGGGGACTCCCTGCCCCAGACACCTGCCGCAGGGCGCTCCCTCCTGCCACTGTGCAGATGCAGCCATGTGGCTCCTGCGGGGCAGCGCGGCCTCCCAGCCACCTCCCTGCACTGACCCCTCTGGTCTCGCTGTAAGGGTCCCTCCCTCCCATCCCCATCCTACTCACCCTTCAAGGCCTCCGTGAGCCCACCTCCTCCAGGAAGCCCTCCAGGTCATTCCTTGCCCTCCAACCCAACCTACTTAGTGGTTTGTGCTAGACTCCCCCCACCCCGGCCTCTCCCACTCAGGAACCCCGGTTCTCCCAGGCAGAGGGGCTCCACGTCAGCCAGGGGCCTGGCACCCTTGAAAGCCAAGCCAACCGCCCCCTTTCATCTTCTGTCTAACTAGACTCAGTTGTACTATGGGAGTGGGTTTCTGTGGGTCCTTCTCCCGGAGAAGAGCAGAGCTCCCCCAGGGGTTGGGGTGGGAGCCCCCCAGGTGTAGCACACTCTCACCTGCCACCTGCACTTCCTGCAGCCAGCCGGGCCTCCAGGCCTTTCTGTCTACCCCGGGCACGCAAGGGCTGCACTTGGAGCAGCAGCCAGGCCTCCAGTGAATGAGAGAGTCTTGAATGGGGGGCGGGGGTGAGAGGCAGGGCTTCGGGGAGCCCCACCTCAGCGCCAGAGCTGCTGGCCCTCAGGAACCAGGGAAGTCCCGTGGGAGGAGGGTCCCTTCTGAGACCCGGACACAGGCGTCCAGGCTCCGGGACCTCCAGGGCCACCTCCAGGGACCCTGGGGTCCCTTCGGTCATCCCAGAGGCCTCATGAGAGGGAGTTATGGCCTATTTGGGCAGGACACTGGGAGGGGTGGCAGGAGGAAGTTCAGGCTGGACTTGCATTGAAAAGGTTCTACACCCCAAGGGGCGTGCACTGAGTCACCAGGACTGGGTTTGGAGGAGCATAGCTTTCCAGTGCTGCTGGAACCAAGCATACGGACGGGACGTGGCCGGACAGGACGTGGGCTGTGTGTGCTGGGCAAGGCCGGCCGGGCGGTGCATCACCAGGCGACTATCTGAGCCTGCCTGGCTCCGCCAGTGCACAGGCTTCTGGAACCCAGAGAACCTTCTGGAGGTCACTCCATCCCTGTCTCTGCCTCTGGCCGGCTGGCCCCATCCCCAGAGGTCTCGGTTCCTGTTGGGCCAGCAGGCCTGGAGACCTTGCCCACCTCCCCCTGCGCCTCTTGCTTTGGAGGACCCAGCCAGGCCCGTGATCTCAGCCTCTGCTGACTCTGGCCGGTTCGTCAGGTCTGGTCACTCCAGCTCAGCTCCCTCCCTGGGCCCAGCCCAGGGTGGCCCTCCCTGGCCAGGGTGTCTCTCTGAACCCATTCCTGCTGCGGCCAGACACGGAGCTGGTTAATGCTTAACAGGAGAGCGGGTGACACTGGGGCCGCCAGCAGGGCTGGTCGAGCAGGACTTCCGGAGGGGACACAGCAGGTGGGAAGCAGGCGTGCCTGGCCCCTTGTGGCTCTGGGGACATGTCCCCTTGTATGGGGCTCGGCTCTTTCTCCGAGTCCTACCCAGGGACAAGGATTTGGGAGAAGCGGCCAACATCTTGGGGACCAGGAGCCGGGCGTTGGGGGGCAGGCGGGCACCCGTGCTTTGGGGGCCAGAGGCAGTGCGGGCCGCATGTGCTGTGGGGCCGTGGTGTGCACTGAGCCCATGTGCCCCGCGCGGCTCTCCCCAGCCCCACTGTACCGTCTTTGTGCCTTTCCCAGGATACGGGCGCCTCCATGGCGAGACGGGCGTCTGAGGTTCCAGGGCAGGAAGGGGAAAACCAAACAGAACTGGCAGCCCCCGGCCAGCCCCGCGGCCCCCGAGACGGCGGCTTGGCAGCCAGCAGCCACACGGAGGCCCTGGCGGGGCTCCTGGACGGGGGTGCTTCCTTTGAGGTTGCCTGGGGAATGTTTGAGGTTGGAACTCATGGCAAACGCTGGCTCGCGGTAGCCGGGAGCTGCTGGCACAGAACCGTGAGACGTGCCAGGACAGCACGTGTGCACCCTGCCCGCGCTGACCCCGGCGGCTGCACCCCCACTCTGCCTAGCCCTGGGGTGCTCCACTTGCCACGGCCCTGTGCGGCGTGGGGTCCCCCGCGGCTCTCAGCCTGCGTGTGCCCTGGTGCTCTGGGTCAGGCTCTCCATGCCCTCTTTCTCCAGGGAGCCCGGACCCCATCATCTGAGTCTCCGGGAGCCTGCGCTCCACTCGGCCCCACGTCCCTGAACACCCGCTCTGAGGTGCGAGTTCCTAGAGCTTCCTCACTCCCTCTGGGGGTCCCTGTGCCTTCTGTAAGCCTGGGTTCCTGGGGGACACAAACCCCACTCTGCAGAGTATCTGGGAGTTGACTCCTTGCTCGCCGGGAAATTGACGGGACGCCTACCTCGTCGTCCGACCGCATGGGCAGAGCATGGAATCCATCTACCAAAGCCCCGTGTCGAACGCTGGGATCCTCTGCGACCCAGGCATCAGTGCCCTCTGGGGACCACTGGCACCCCTCCCCACAGACTGCCTCTCCCATGGGTTCCAGGACTGTGGTGGCCAGGGCTGGCTCCCCCACGGCTTCAGCTAGCCCCCCTTCACCGGCTCATTGGGGGGCACCCTTCATGAGAGCAAATCCCTGGGGACACAACCGACCACCTTGGCTTCTGGCTGCCTCCTCCCCTCCTCCCCAAGGTCTGGGCATGGGGACTCTCCATTCTGCTGTCACCCTTGGGTGACACCCACGCGTGCTACACCCACACGTAGGCCCCTTGGGTGCCTGAATCCCCTGCTGACGCATCTCCCGTAGGCCCGAGTGCCGGGCAGGCCTGGTGGCCTTGTTGCTGTGGTTTGGATGCCTTCTGCTCCTTCCACCCCTGCCTCTGCATGTCACCCTTGTCTCTGGCTGTGTGTGCTATTCATCCGTGTGCTGGGCCGACCGCCTGCCCTACTGCCTGAGTGTCTGGGACGCCCCCTCCTAGGCCTTCCAGGAGCTGCACCTCCACACAACACGCCTAGGGTCCTGAACCCCCTTAGCCTACCTATGGAGTCCCCTACCCCATTGCACAGTGTGTATGGGTTTTGAAGCCCACCAGTCTGAAACCCTGGGTCCCATACCCCATTAGCTGCAGTATAGGGGTCCTGTACCCCATTAGCCTGAGTGGGTCCTGAAGCCCTTCAGTTGAAGCCTCTGGGTTCCCATGTCCTCCCCCCGACCTCCGTAGGCTGAAGAGCTGAGCTGCCCACACCCCAAGCTTTAGTGTCCATGGCCTGGTTGCCTGTCATCTCGTGGACTCTGTTTTGAGGCTCTGGGGCCTGTACCCTGTTCCCTGGACATCGGGGTGACTTTTGTGCCATCCAGCCCTCTCAGCCTGTCTGAGCTGGATGGTGTACCCCATCAATCTGGGAAAATATGGGCCGGGAACCCCACTAGTCCTGCATATGGGTGCCTCTGGACCCCAGCCACATAACACCCGGCTTGTGAGCATGGGGTTCTGGGAGGTGGTGGTCTCCTGCTCTCCTGTCTGAGGGCCTGGCTGCCCAGGCTGGGTCACCTTGGCAGCTGGGTAGGCTGGCATCCCACCACCTGAGCTCCGTGTGGCTCTGGGTAACCGCACATCTCAGCAGCCTGCTCTCCCGAATGGACAGGAACTGGGTACCTACTGCCCTAAATTTTGAGATTCCACTACCTGCCTCTGAATAGGGATCTGGGCCTCCCTTCCCAGGTCCTCCCAATCTGGCTGCATCACTCGCCTGAAGGCTCGGGCCCTGGGACCCATTGCTCTGAGGCTCTGAGTGTCCGGGCAGCCCTACCCTGCTCCTCCCAGCTCCTCAGTGACAGGACTTCAACCGTCACCCAGACAGAGCTCTGACCCCCATTTCCAGGGCCTCCGGGCCGGCCTCCCCCAGTCGTTGAGCATTCCCAGGGTGCCAGCTCCTAAGCTCTCTTCTCCAGCTGCCTGAACCCCAAAGTCACCAGAGTCCCAGGCTGCCTAGCGCCCACCCACCCACTTGCCTCTCACATAGGCCCACTCTCAGGGTCCCAGGCCCTGTGTGTGGACACCTGCTGCCCATGCATGGGTGTTTGGCACGTGGGAGCCCATTCAGGCTCGTGCTGGCATCTTGGTGCCGAGCTCCTGTGCAGTTCTAGGCAGGCAACTCTTTGCTGTCTGAACATTTGGGAGGCTCTGTCCGAAGCCTTCACACGTCCTGGGACATCTGAGGGACACAACCTCCCGCTCCGTGGAAGGGTCTGGGTCCTGGCACCCCCTGATCATGCACAGTGGATGCCCAGCGCCCTGTGTATGTGAGAACTGGAGACTTGCCCTTTGATTGTGGTGTGTGAGCACTGCAGCTTGGACCCCTTCCTGAGTCACACTCATGACTCTGGATTTTGGGGTGCCCTGTTCCCCTCTCACCAAGGCTTTCAGCAGCATGTACCCTCCGCGGCCTACACCCCATACCTCACGTAGGCCCGTGTTCCCAGGTCCTGGGCCCCACCAGCCAGTTCCAAGTTCTACTGCGTCTTTGGACGCCCGGGGCCCATTCATGGGTGTCCGGCCTGTGTGAGCCCATTCATCTTGTCCCAGCGCCTCTGTGCCCTATTCATGCGTGGCTCTGGGCAGGCTGCACCCCGTCCGCCCACGTCTCAAAGACAGTCTGTGCTTTGTCGCCCCAGTTCCAGGAACAGCTGCCGCGCAGCCAGCAGGCACATTCCGGGGTTTGGCCTAGGGCCAATGCAAACCCTGGTAATGCTGGCACCGGCAGCAAGCGGGGGCAGGGGCGAGGAATGACCGTAGGGAGGGGAGAGCGGGGACCCTCGGTTTGGGAGCCCTCGATCAAAGCCTTCCGTACATGGTGCATGTCCTGGACAGGCTGCCAGCAGGAGTGGCCATGCACACGTTCCAGACCCCTCTGCCGAGCCCGCCGTTTCCTGCCGGGAAGGGTGGGGGTGACCTGGCTGCAAGACATGTCCACCTCAGCTCGGGGCAGGGTTGGGGGTCCCGGGCCACGGGTGGGGGCTGAGGCTGTTTGCAGGGGTTGCCATCTCTGGAGGCAGCAGACCCTGACCCCGGTTGGCTGCCTCCCTATTTGGGAGCTGTGGGGCCCATGGGGAGACGGGCCCCTTTCTCCAGTGCCCCCCCTCCCCACCGTCAGGCTCCCTGCAGCTGACCTAGCACTATCTCCGTTGTCTCCTTGCTTGTGTCAGGAGTAGGAAAGGAGTGTGCCCATGATCTCTTCTTGCCGAGGGGGTTCCTGGGTGTCAGACAGTTGTCCCAGCTTCCCAGGGGTCCCCGTGCGAGCCAGGACCCAGAGACGCCCCCTGGTCGGGTCTGCGAGGGGAGCACAGATCTATATTTTCTGGGTGTGAGAGGAGTCGGTCCAGGCTTTCTGATTCGGGTTCCCTGGGTCGGGGTAGGACTGGTTTGTATCCTCTGGGCATCTCTGGGTGTGCTCATCCTGAGGATGCCCCTCTTAGCACTTAGCACCGGGTTGGAGTGTCCTGGCTCTTCCACACTGTCTTCCCCTCCATCCCTCACTCCCTGTGGGCCCTGGTCCTGCCCCTACCCACTCTGACCCAGCTCAGGCATGGCCGCTGGCCCTGTCCCCACCACCACTGCCACCCTCCAGCCTTCCCCAGAGATGTGGCAGGCCCACCTGGGTTTCCGGCAGATGCACAGGACCCTGCTCTCAAGCAGATGTGGGGAGGTGGCAGGGGGACCCCAGGATGTGGGGACCCAAGCCCAGGGGGCAGTGCGGGCCATGGGATGAGGCTGATGGGACCCTGGGAGGGCTTATGGACAGGTCTGCAGCAGGTGTACCCCCTTCCTGTTCACCTCTCAGGTTCCTGAGCAGC